GGCTGGGAGTGTGGTTTAGAGGTAGAATACTTGCCCGGGCTGGGAGTGGGGTTTAGAGGTAGAATACTTGCCCAGCATACATGAGGTCCTGGGTTCTACTCCTTGGTATCAAATAAACAAAAAAACAAAAAAAATAAAATACAGGAATTATCATTGTATGTGATATTTAATAATCTATGTCTTTATGTGCTTATGTAAAAACGAACTGACCTAGTTTAATTAAAATTAATTGGTACCCCATAGAAGGTAGTAGAACTTCCTTGTCTTCTTTTAGTTTTTCCTAACATGAATTGGTCTCCAAACACAGCCCTCAGGAAGTGAGAAAAAGTACAGTTTAAAAAAAAAATCAAAAGTAAACCAGGAGCTGGTGGCTCATGACTATAATCCTAGCTACTCACGAGGCTGAGATCTGAGAATTGTAATTTGAAGTCATCCTGGGCAGGAAAGTCTTATTGCCAATTAACTACCACAAAACTGGAAGTAGAGCTGTGACTCAAAGTGATAGAGTGCTAGCTTTGAGCAAAAAAGCTCAGGGTCAGCGCCCAGGCCCTGAGTTCAAACTCCATGATTGACCAAAAAAAAATCGATATAGTATAATTATCATCATGATTTACTATCCTCAAGTGTTCAGAAATTTAACTCTTGGACTTTAGACAGTCAGCTACTTACCTCCCTGCTTTTTAGCCTTTCTATCCCTCCTTCCTCTCTTCCTTCTTTTCTTCCCTCCTTTCCTCCCTCCCTTTCCCCTAACTCTGTTTCTTCTTTTTTCTTTCAATACTAAGATTTAGCCTCACGCTTCCTAGGCACATTCTCCATTACTTGAGCTACATTCCCAGCCCAGTAGTTACTTTCACGTTTGTTCTCAGGCTGGCCTGACCATGATCCTCCTATTACATTTCTTGTGTATCCAGGATGACAGGTGCATGCCACCACACTGGCATTAGCTTGGTTTATTCCTAACTGATCTTTTCCTTCCATTACCTTTTTTACCACCATCATTTTTGTTGTTGTTGTTGTTTTGTTTTGTTTTTAGCATGTCCATAGATCACATCAGACTGTAAGGTTAGGTTTACATTAGCCAATTTTATTATTTTTAGCAAACTGTATCTTTGTGTTTTCTTGTTTTTCTGTGTTCTAGACCACATTTAGATAAATGTTCATCATGCCTTTAAAAATCCCATATGTTGCCAGGTACTGGTGGCTTACATCTGTAATCCTAGCTACTCAAGAGGTGAAGATCTAAGGATCCTGGTTTGAACCCAGCCCGGGCAGGAAAGCCTGCATTATCTCCAATTAACTACCAAAAAGCCAGAAGTAGAGCGGTGAATCAAGTGGTTGAACACTAGTTCTGAGCAAAAAAACTCAGGGACAGCATTTAGGCCCTGAGTACTTGCCCCAGGACCAGCATCCCCCCCTCCCCCCGCAAAAAAAAAAAGTCCCGGTTGTGGGACTTGAACTCTGGGCCTGGGCGCTGTCCCTCAGCTCTTCAGCTCAAGGCTAGCGCTCTACCACTTGAGCTACAGCGCCACTTCTGGTTTTTTCTTTTTGCTTATGTGGTGCTGAGGAATCAAACCCAGGGCCTCATGCATGCAAGGCAAGCGCTCTACCACTGAGCCACCTTCCCAGCCCCAAAAAGAAAAATCTTACATGCTAAGAATGCATGCTACTTTATCTTTGCCTGCTATTGATGATTTGAATTTAAACCTTTACATGTTCTTGACTTTATATTCTTGGTTTTAAGACTTTAGATCTTTTATTTGTTTTCCACAGTGTGTTCAATACGAGTCATTGGTGAGAGTGATATCATGCAGGAATTCCTGTCAGAATCAGATGAGGTAGGTGAAAACTCTTTAACTACTATTTTTATCATAGTTCCATATGGGAAAAAATAAATCAAAGGTATTGATTATGAGTTGAATTGCAGTAAACTCCAAAGGACTCTAATTTTTCTACTCCTAGTGCTAGGTCTACCTTTTCTTTGAATCCTTCTCTGATGATTCAGATCATTGATTTTTCATTCTACCAAGAACTTTTGTCTTTAGTATCAGCATATTACTGTCTCATTCTCTACCTGTCATCAGTTTGTCACTTTATATTTAGCTTACAAGACTATGAGTTACCTATAATAAGAATAAGCCTTGATCATTTTTTTTTTTTTTTTTTTGCTGGTCCTGGGGCTTGAACTCTGGGCCTGGGCGCTGTCCCTCAGCTCTTCAGCTCAAGGCTAGCGCTCTACCACTTGAGCTACAGCGCCACTTCCGGTTTTCTGGTGGTTTATTGGAGATAGGAGTCTCACGGTCTCTCCTGCCCAGGCTGGCTTTGAACCGGGATTCTCAGATCTCAGCCTCCTGAATAGCTAGGATTACAGGCGTGAGCCACCAGTGCCCGGCCCGCCTTGATCATTTTTATATTCCCAGTGCCTTACCTCAGTGTCAATCATATAAATAATAAATAAATAGTAATTGAATAGATTGCATGGGTAATGCCAACATTTTATTTGTTAATTATTTCATATGCATATGTATTATTTTCCTGGCTAGAGTTTAAGTGTCTTGCAGACAGGGGTTTATGGTAAAGTACAGTAGCTTGCTTCCCTACTCCTCCTACCCCCTTATCCATAGTTATAGTTTTCACAGTCTTGGTTAACTGCACTTAACTATGGTCTTAAAATATTAAATATAAAATTAAAGAAAACAATTCATGAGTTTCAAATTATATGGCATTTGAGTAGCTGTCCCACTCAGAACCTGAATCATCTTTTGTCTAACATATCTACTCTGTATAACTGTACTGCCTGTTAGTCACTTAGTAGCCAGACTAGTTACTGGATTGACTATGCTGGTATCACAGTGCTCATATTCAAAGACCTACCTGTTTACTTAAATTTATTTTTGCTTGTACTGGGGTTTGAATTCAATGTCTTGCACTCACCTGCTTTGCTTGGCTGCCACTTTTCCATTTGAGCTATACCACAAGCCCTGCATTTTGCTGGTCATTTTGGAGATGGAGCCTTGCAGACATCTACTCAAGCTGGCTTCTAATCAGTCTTTTGGATATCAGCCCCCTGAGTAGCAGGGATTACAGATATGAGCCACTGGCACCTAGCTTCAATCACTATTCTTTTTATTTTACTTTTTTTTTTTTTTAGTTTTGGAGGATTTATTTATTTATTTATTTTGTTGGTCATGGGACCTGAACTCTGGGCCTGGGTGCTGTCCTTCAGCTCTTCAGCTCACAGTGAATGTTCTGCCACTTGAGCCACAGCTCCACTTCCAGGTTTTTCTGCTTATGTGTTGCTGGGAATCGAACCTAGGGCCTCATGCATACAAGGCAAGCACTCTATCACTGAACCACCTTCCCAGCTGTAGTTTTGGAGTTTTAAACACTACTATGTTGTTGCATACTAGTTATAAAGAAAACAGTTTCATTAGCCAGGCGCCGGTGGCTCATGCCTGTAATTTTAGCTACTCAGGAGGCTGAGATCTGAGGATCTCGGTTCAAAGCCAGCCCGGGCAGGAAAGTCCATGAGACTCTTATCTCCAATAAACCACTAGTAAATTGGAAGTGGCACTGTGGCTTAAGTGGTAGAGTGCTCGCCTTGAGCTGAAGAGTGCAGAGACAGTGTCTAGGCCCAGAGTTCAAGCCCCACCGACAAAGAAAAAAAAAGAAAACAGTTTCATTGTTACATCTCTACTCTTGTTTATATTGTATTTCAATTAATTTCACTTCCTTTGTCACTCATTCTACCTCTTCCTCCCTCATAAAGGTACCCTCAGCTAGGTGGTGGTGGCTCACACCTATAGTCCTAGCTACTCAGGAGGCTGAGAACTGAGGATGGCGATTCGAAGCCAGCCCGGGCAGGAAAGTCTGTGACACTCTTACCTCCAATTAATCAGGGAAAAAGCCTCAAGTGGAGCTGTGGCTCAAATGGTAGAGTACTAGCCTTGAGCATAAAGAGGCTCAGGGATAGCGCTAGGCCCTAAGTTCAAACCCTAGGACCAGCAAAAAAAATAGTAGATAAATAAAAAATAGCACCCTCAACAAGTTTCTTTGTTTTGTTTTCATAGTTGAAAAATAATCTATTTTAGCAATATTTAACAATATTTAACCTCCTTTATCTTCCCCACCAGCCAACCCCCTCCTCCAAGTAACTCTTAATAATGACTCTAGATAATAGGAATAGCTATGCTAGCAACTATATACCAAAGAGGAGCCATAGAGTATTTCCTTTAAGTTTAAAAGGTAAAAAAGTCAGGGGGAGGGGGTGGTGGAGAAAAAAAAAATTAAAAAAAAATTTTTTTTTTTTGGGTCCGTTCATGGGGCCTGAACTCTGGGCCTGGGCGCTGTCCCTCAGCTCTTCAGCTCAAGGCTAGCACTCTACCACTTGAGCCACAGCGCCACTTCCGGCTTTTTTATTTTTGTTTATATGGTGCTGAGGAATCGAACCCAGGGCCTCATGCATGCAAGGC